AAAAAATCACAGAAGCTGGGATTAGAATAACATGCATGGTGTGATTAACTCTACAATTCAGCTTTACTATACAGACTTTGCATGCCATTGTGAACTCCTACAAACAACCTGTTTTATCTTACAGGACAGTAAGACATAGTTAATATTTATTAATTTTCCTATTAAAAATCATGTCAACATTACATCTCACTATGAAGAGCTGCACAGCAGAAGTATAACATTTTACTCAAACATATCAATAAAGATTCCTAGGAATCTCCAGAGACCAGTTGCTGCAAAAGCACCTAAGAAACATTTTGAAAAGAATTGTTTAAAAATATATGTAGATGAGTAACTTCAGTGACTACAGAAAAACTGTACCTCCCTATTTCAAATAAATATTTCTCATAAGTAACAGGAAAAAGGGGAAAAAAATAGAACTCTTTACATATAGGAAGACACATGGAATGAAAACCTGAACACCAGAAATTAATTATGTGCAGAGTAACTTTATAATTGTCCATCATAAAATCCTGAAAAATTATGCTGCACTGACTGACACATATTCCTTGTTTTGCAAACAGAGGAAAATACCACCAGTGTTTAAGATGGTGGAACTGAAAATATAAAAAACAGACCGTGTAGATAACACACTTTAAAGGCATTAAAAGGCATATATAAAATTTTCCCCTTTTTTTGTTAAACACTTATAGTAACACGATTAACAGAAAAAAAAAAACAAACAAATATGTATTGGGCAATGGGTGGCTGAAAAGAGCTTTTAGACACACAAAAAGCTGCAGAAAAAGTTGTCATACACTCTAGTGATAATCTTCCACAAAGGCTTGTTTAACTTAAAGCACATAAATATTATTGTGACTTAAACTATCTCACTTTAGCTAGATTGCTTTTGAGTCTCTTCTGTCAAGGGAAAAAGTCATCACATAGACAATTACATGAGCATAGCTGATGCAACATCACATGGGACATTTCAACAGAAAAGGCAGAACTGTAGAAGACATGAAGAATGTTTGCCTTGCACACAAAGTAAACTATTTGAATTCTGCTCTTCGGCAACTCAAAAAATATGATATTCTGTAAATAAGGTGTGAATGAAACCCAAGAAAACTCACCTGTTTGGATTTGACATCACTTCTCTATGAACATGAATCTTTGCATCCCTATCTCTGACATCTCACCCAAGTTTCTCTATTCCCATTGTTCCTGMCACACAGACCTACTGTGAGCTGGGGCTTGTTTGGGAGTTTTCTTGCTGATTTTGGTAGGACTTTCTTTTAAAGAATTTAGGAATGTACAGATATACATATAAAATCCTGTTCTGTCTGTTCCATCCATACCCCCCCCAGTCTAACCAGATGTACTCAGCCTCTCCATCTTGCTTTCTTTCCCGAATCTTAATATCTACCTACTCTAGAACTCATCTTATTGATACAATGCCACAAACAAGATTTCTGAACAGTAACTGGAAACTAATAGTGTCATGATGTTGGAAAAAGCCTCCTCCTGTGGGCCTTGTTCCATCTTCTGGTTGACTACCATGCTGTTCCTTCGTCTTTTCCCTCTGTTACTTTCTTAACCCTGGGAGAAAGCTGCACTCCCTGCAACAGCTAGAGATTAAGTAAGGCTAATTTTGTCTAATTTATGTAAAACTGATTAAGGTAAATGGGAACAAATCTTGGTTAATAGCCAGCCCTGTAGCCATGCATGAGAAAATAAAAATGGAAATTAAGTCTGAAATTACCAGAGGTTTAGTTATCCCATTAATAGCTATGGACTCAGATACATAAGAAGCATTGTGGTGCTCTGAACAGAAAAGTATGATACCTTCTCCCTTTAACAATGTGATGACTGGAATCATTAGAATTACCTCAATTCCACTAAAAAAAGCAGTCCTTATGAACTTTGTCTTTAAAYCATGCTTCTCAATAGGTTCCATCACTTAGCAAAGTCCAAGAAGTGCTGCAGTTACTTAAATTCTTTAAAACTCAAGTTTGCAAAAGTATAGTTCATTTAAGTTTTTTAAAACTAGATACTTTAATCTAGGAGTATCTTAAGCTATGTACCAATATCTATAGCACATACATGTAGAAATACTTTTATCACCATTCTAACATGAAGAATCATTCTAGAAGTCATTTTGATGAGCCAATCCTAACAATTCTTTATTAGCATTTTCTCCTTACTTCAGAAAATGTCTCTTCTGAAATATGAAAATAAGACAGAGAAAACGCCTTAAAATAAACTATTGTTTGAATATTTAAATTATGCCTCTTGATTTTAAATTCTTGATTCTTCTAAAGTATGCACTKTATTCCAAAATCTATTTTAATCTAGATTACATAATAGAAATTTAATGCTCGGAGTTGCTTAAGTACGTAAGAACTTGAGACAAGACTCAGAAACTACTTTAACTGCACTTTCTGTATGAGTTAAATGAATTTTAAAAATACAACAACTTACAATCTGATCAAAAACGGGTGGTTGACTTCTTTCAAGACAGACTTTTCRTTGTGTACATGTTGCTCTTGCTTCAGTCGAATAACATCAGGAATGCTCATCACTTTCAATGCRAAGTAACGCTTGCCCATTTTTTCCTTCACCAGATGAACACGTCCAAAGGTACCTGTGCCTGAAAAGTTGAAGTAGAAGCATCAGCTTACTGCAACAAAAGGGAAAAAAAACCAAAAAAAAAACATTTGCTAAATTCAAACCTACAGGAACTCCAATTATTCAGGTGAGGAGATTATAAACTTAAACATGCACAGAGAGGTGAAGTGATTCCATAGAATAAGGAAGTGAGGGCCAAAAATATGTAAAATTTGTTGACCCTTCTAAAAATAAACAAATAAAATACAGTGCTCAGTGTTACATCACTTGGAAACAGYAGATGTCTGGCATCTCTTTTTTGCAGGTAATGTACTCCTTTTCCAATTCCCTCTAAAAATTAAAAAAAAGGAAAATAAAAATATATTGACTTTTAAATAATGCATTTGGCATTTCTCTACTCAATACAGTTGTCATTAAAGTTCYTTTTAAGTGCACTGCACTTCAGACAATCATGTATAACTGAACTGAGTATCTCATTTAGTTTGAAATGAAAGTTAAAAGTAGCACATTTAACCACATTGCTATTTGTTGTGCAGCAAAGCATTACCCATTTGAAGATGAACACACATTTCAGCACGCTGGGTGGTTGCTTATTGTTTTTCTGGTCCTTAAACAATGCCATGTAGGTTCCACTACAACAGTTCACCAGMTATTTTTAATCCCATTCTCAGACAGAATTATGCACCAATATAAAGGACACTTGGCACTCAAACCAAGTGCCTGACTTGCAAAAGGTTACTCCAGAAAAGTCAAAAGCTTATACTTAACCTCAGTCATCCCCTTTTTTGCACATACTCTAGGAAAGGCAGCACACAGACCTGTTACAGTATTTTTAACCAGTTTGTTACTCGATTTCAGATTGTGTTGACCAGTTATGATCAAKTTATAGTACAAGACAATTTTCTAACATTTGTAATGGGTACAAACTTCTAAAAATGCATTATTGGGGAGATGAGAGAATACCAGGGATTTTTTGCCTCTGGTAGATTCAATTTATGTTTGAAATATTTGCTTTCTGTATGTGTAATCTCACCTAAAATATTTTATTTTATTTAACTGTTTTTCTTTCCAGTCACTTACAGTATTGTTTAAGACTTAGCATTTACTAAAAAACAAAATACTCATCTTACAAACTAAAAACTACCAACTCCAGCAATCCAGTTTTATGGAACTTGCAGCTCCATTAGCAATACAGCTTTCAAAGTCAGTTTTCAAGATAAAACTTCTCACTACACTAACACATCAAGGATTACCATTGTCCAGGCACTAAAGATTCCATCAAAGAAGTTTTACATTCCCTCCTGTCCTGAGATACAGTTCTTTAACCATGAAAACTGTATACAGGTCTCAGAAAAAGCTGCTGTTATAGCAAAGTAAGCCATCAGTTACCCTGGAAAATTTATCACGCAATTAAATCCTTTAACAATGTAATCACATTACATGACTACAACTAAACAACCTGGTTTGCTCAGGGATGGGCTTCTACACTAAAAAAAAAAAAAAAAAAAAAACCCCCCCCCAAAAAAAAAAACCAAAAAACCCCTAAAAACCAAAACAACAAACAAACAAACAAAAAAACCCCACAACTAAAACAAGGTCCAAAAGCTTCCAAGCAGACACATCTGTCAAAGCTACTTTAAATACTGATTACTTACATCTACACTGAATGCACAGACAGAAAAAAATTAATGGGTTATTTCTGAATTAGAAGCTGAAATTTAAATTATGAGCAAAGCACTGTGAAGACTAACTACAGTCATATGGCACACCTAAACTAAAAACTGTCTTTCATTTCTGAGATTTCCTAAAGTGGAGTCAGGGAAATTAACAATACTAACCCCATAAGCAAATGYGGTTTTAAATGTATTTTGATATTTGTATGAATGAAGTATTTCCACAGACTTATTCAACAGGAAAGTCAAAAGTGAATATGTATCTAATCGTTTCTAGGTCTCTAGTGAYTACATGTTTCATGACTTGTTCTACTTGTTCTTTTTTATTTTAGAATGCTTTACTTTTCTTTATGCCATTGGTTTATCTTTACAAACCACTGATCAGAAGTAATAGCAATAATAATAGAAATCACAAGTTCCATCTATTTTCAAAGAAGAACCTGTCAGGGACGTATTTAGCCATAGTTCTAACTTTGGAAACACTTCCTCCTTAAAAATGTCTCTGCCAGGAACAGCAAAGCCTGGCAGGCTATTCCAGAATAGTGGYAAAGACCTAGAGAGCCTCCGGGAAAACCAGAAGACCACACAGACGAGAACACAGAACCTCCCAAACCAGTTTTATTGTAGAACTGATCCAAGGCWGTGTTTTTTCAAACATCTTTAGCACAGTTTCAAGCAACTATGAAAATCAAGACAATACAGACTAAGCCATATAACATTTGTTTTCAGACATCTCCTCTCATAACACGCATTTTCTCCCCATCAAGTCTTCTCAGAAAATCCATCAGGCCTACATTAGCTGGCAGTACACAGACATACACCCACCACTCTTCCATGGGAATAATTGTTAGGCTTTTTTTTTTTTTTTTTTTTTTGCGTGTGTGTGTTTTATGCCTAGCCAATCTTGAAACTACCACATAAAGTTTGCATACAAAAGATATTGTAATTCAAAATCTCACTTCAAACCTGCTCATACTTTTAGCCATTTTTGCAAATATTTTWAAAATTTTCTTCCTTGCAATTGACAGGAAGGAGGGAGAAACGGGATGACAGTCAAGATGGGAGGCTGTAACAAGATGTTGTTGTGGTTGCTTAACACAGTGAAGAAAATCTGTTTCGTAAAAACAGGTTATCTTGTTGTGACTAGGTGGCAATTCTGCCCCTCAGATTCATAAAAAGAAAACTAAAAACTTAAAGCAGCATAGCRGCAGTGCATAAGATGAAGGCCCAACTCCACAAATTTGAGGGAAGGTTTTTATAATCAAAAAAAGGCAGCATTAACAGTATTCCATCAGAGCACCACTGCTTTGTACCCTTCAGTAATAAGAGCCTAAACCCATGGAAAAATTTTTATCAATCCCTATGAAATAACTGTTCAACTTTTTCCCCTGATCACCTCAGAGCTCAGCTGTGTGAACCAACTAAATTTGACCTTTTGTGACATTCCTTCAGACTATCTTAAAATGGAAATATTCTATAAGTCCATAAGAATGAAGGGAAATAGTGATTACAGATTTGAACATTAGTCTACTGACATTTATTTAATATTTGGTTCAAACCAAGAGAACTTGAGGGACATTGCACCATTCTGGATTAGTTCTGGGATTTACCAGGTACTATCCTGYTGAAGGAAGAGCAATGGCTTCATGCACACCCTACATACATATCCCAACCTGTCTGYTCATTATAGTACTTATTACCAGAGTTTCAGAGCAAAAGAAAAGCACCTACATGGGAAGATCATACCTCAATAAAACAGCTGTTCTTAGAAAGTCTGAAGGCAAATTTGTAGTGTATTTGCAGYGGCCCCTTCTGTTAAGGTATATGGSAAGTGAAGGTATCTGGACATCAGTAATGAAAGCAAGTGAAGAGTGCCTGTGTTGTTGTTGTGAYTTTCAGGACTAAATGGGCAAACAGAAAAAAAGTATGCAAAATGCTAACCACTAATCCAGTATAATCTGTTTATAACAGAAACAATAAAATTCTTGGACACCATTGCAAATTTTATGTGGTYGCAGAGCTTGAAGGAATGCTAGCAATCTTCTCCATTAGGTAACCTTCTCATGTCAGGCACAGAGGAGGCCAAAACCTGCAGAAGACCAACTCGGTGGTTGGTCAAACACAAGTAGAATATTTGCAGTCTTACAAAACAAGCTGGATTCCCTAATACTATGCAAAAATACCATAGCCAGGATTTTGTTCTCTTTGAAGCCTGGCAGAAAAGAATAAAGAATGTGGGAACATTTCTGATGCATTTTCAGATACTTTTGATGCTAGGTAAACCAATCCTGCAACTTTTGATCAGCTAAAACAATTGAGTGAGTAGTCATGTAGTGAYTATTTTACTGTTGATGTAGATGACTAATTTAATGCTTAGATTGCCTCTTTAGTTGCTCCCATTAACTAAACGCAGCTGTTCCACCTTCCCATCTTTTTAATCCCCAGCTCTTTCTTAAAACCAAGTTTGCCTTGCTCAGATAGATACCATCTGTTTTAATGAAGAATAAACTAGGTCATGTGAGCTCCATGACCCTAGGGCTGCTTTCTGAGTCCCAAAAGGGTTAGCCCCGACTTCAACAGATGCCTACAAAAACCATCAGATGCATTCACTTTTATTTACAGTTAGAAAAAAAAAATCTTACTGTGACATATATTAGTCTTTATTGATAGCTACAAGCAGAACAGACTTAATTCTGTTAAATATCAGAGATTAACTAAATGAACTGTATCAGATCACAAACTCACTATTGAATGTCAAATTTGTCTGCCATTTAATCTTTGTCTTAATTTGGGATGGAACATCAAMAGCCTAGGCTAGGAAATGGGAGTTGTCAGTAATACTTAACAAATAAGTGGAAAAGTGGCACAGCAAAGGAAAACCAGCCTGCCCAAATAGAGTGGCAATGAGAAGATTAACATTTCTTTGGGAGAAAGATGTAGGAAACCACAAGGCAGAAGCAACTGTGGGCTTCTACAACAAAAGATGTGGCTGGAACATGAAAGCTGTTTTGGMTTGSCCAGTGYAAATCTTAGACTACTGCTTTTATAGATCTGCATTACACTAGGGGGTTCAGATTTAACACTGAAAAATATTTCAGAGAAATAGTGAAAGTTAGAGGAGGTTTTATAGGATGTTTTTATTCGTCTAGAACTGGAGCTTATTTTAAATGATACCAAACAGACATGAAGCTTATCAATCTGCATTAATATAATTTCAACAAAAAACTTGGCCTACCATGTTTTAAATTACAAGTACATTTAAGCTAAGTAGCAGGTACCTGTCTGGCTAGTAACACATGCCAGGCTACAACACTAGAAAGCATTAAATTCTCTTTCATCTGATGAGAAT